ATTCCTGCTCTTGAAACTTTGAATACAATTAACTTCTTGTTTGGGCCGCCACGTCGCAACGCTAAAGATGCGGGGCAATATTTTAGCACCGAGCTCCCGTCTTCTTCCTCAATGGATGATCTGAACTAGCACTCTGGTGCTAGGACGGGCGCTGCATCATCGCCAAAAAACTGTCCATCTTCATGTTGGGCTGAGAAGAAATGAATGCAGCTTATAAAAGTATAAACAATTGCTAAGTCAATGAAAGCGTCCATCAACTGGAGTAGGTTATTATCCATATGATGCTTGGTTTAGATTTGTGAGTTCAATGCACATTTTCTTATTCACTTTTTCCTTATGGACCATGGTGATATGGGAGATCTAATTTGAGTATTGAGCACAGATGAATCAAATCTCTATAAATTTTTAGACTCCATAGCAAATCGGCCTAGCCAAACTTGTGGTGACTAGGTGAATATTTTGATGAATGCATTTGGTCGACTTGTCAATGTCCAAGCAATGGCAAGCAAGTTGATGTCAACTCCTAGCAGTTTAGCTGCCACCCAAGTGAATACACCAATATTCATCAGTGACAGTTGACGAGTTGTTCTTGCTGCTTTGGATTGAAGAAGTCAGACAAATGAAGAAAGCGAGCCATGTCACAATCCGAGAAGGCAACTTTTTGGTTGTCTCGAGGTTATTCCTCTTTGGCCATTGAGTTGTAGTGAGTTCTTCTGGTGATAGTTGATTGTTTTAGAGGTAGTATGTCTGGCATAACTATAGATCTTTTTAGACAATTAGAGTTTGGCCTCTCACAGGAAATTCATTATCACATGGTATTGGGAGATGGTTGACTTGAAGGTTTTGAGCAATTGTCAGCCAAACTTGATGTCATCGATGTTGATTTTTTGTGAAATTGGCCATTGTAATGTATTGTTGGTCGTTAATTAAATGACAACATGCCCTTTGACCCTCTAATACTCACCAAAAACTTCATAAATGGGCCCAATAGTTGGTGACTATGTCGAATGCTATATGTTGATATGAACGATATATGTTTGGAGATTATGTTCAAGAGAACCTCTTGTATCAATCAATATGCTAATAAGTTGATTATTGAAGATAATCATAGTGATGATGATGGTATCGCTATGGGGATTATAATCGATGGCTAGTTATTGTCTACGAAGGTGGTTGACACCTTCGAGGATGAACTTGAACTAGAAGTGACATGCACCTCTCTATAACTAAGATATGTGAGGCTTGCTTACCTCAATGCTTCAACTTAGCCCCTTTGAGAATTGTTGACCTCATCTAGTCATTGTTTAAGTTCAGTGAACTCCTTTATCTTGTCGACATTCGTGGGAGGCATAAGATTTTGATGTGTCATGAGCAAATGGCATCATGCGCATCGGTAATGGTTAGTTAAAAGTACCTGTAGTGGATGACATCCAAATTTTGGTGTATGTTGAATACCTTGATGGTTTCATTGATGTGTCTCTCTTTTGAGATGTGCCCAAGTTAAAATGCCCTTCTCATTATTCTCAACGCGAAACCATGATGTTGCTGCCATTGATGATGGTAATACCATTTCTTAATCAGCCATTCTCAATCATTGCGGAACTTTTTTGATGGTTCTTGGGGTGTCATCATGAGTTCCTTGCAAGTCTGGGGTATTGTGGCTTGAATGTTTAAGCTTAAATTATAAGGTTATGTTCATCTACATTGATGTGGTTGTTGGCCAACTCAAACAACTCAACCAATATTTTCTGCCAACATAATTTGAGGGCATAATAAAGTATACTTTTATGGAGGCCCTGAGTGAGTGTTGTTTGAAAGGCAATAGCTTTAAATTTTTAATATATACCATCCATCATTGGAAATGAGTTCTGAAGTGTCAAGGAGACTCTCCTAGCTCTTCCCGAGTGTTTTGTAATGGCTTTTTGTCTCTTGCAAATTGAGTAATAAATTACTTCTTCAAGTAAGAAAAGATGCGATGCTTCTTGAAAGAAGATGAGAGAATTACCATAATGATTCTTCCTTGGAGGTTTTGAAAGAGGAGTATGCATTTTGTGTGTTATTGAATGCGAGGAGAGCGATAGTTGAATTGAAGTGATTAACATGGTTGGTTGGGTTTAACTACTCTATAAAAATCTAGCACCAGCATTTTGAACTTTGGTAACTGTAAAGTCTCCACAATTTTAACTGAGAAAAAAATTATAGGATACGCCTCGCACTTTGCTGGTAAGTGAGGGAGAGTAATCTCCATTAGAATCTCATAAGGTTTAGTGAAAAAAACTCCATTCTCTTCATAAGTTGATTTACAAAGAAGTTCGATCAAAACCCTTAAACAGAAACGGGTGAGTTGAACCGAGTTACGACAGCATTCTCAAAGTCATGGTTGACATTATAAAATTGGCTACATGATATGACTACAAAGAAGGTATGCAAATTGTACTTGGTATATAGTATGTAGTGGGCAATTGTGACTAATAGCTGATCGCTAGTCTCGAACTTCAAGTGAGTTCTAGATTGAAGGTGGGTAATCTTGAAAACTCTTTTGGTGAGAATCTTTAGTTAGTAGGCAAGTACTATGAGCAAGTTGTGAAGTTCTTTGGACTAGAAACTTTGATTTGTAGGTGATTTTAGGAGTCTTTTTAAGTTTAGTAGCATGGCATTGAGGGGCTAAGTTGGAGCAAACTCTTAGGCATTTTAATGAAATTCGTTCTCTGATTTGATGTCTTGTTCGAATTAAGTTCGCGATTGATGAATTACTGAACTCCACTCAAGTTCTTATAATGACTTGAAATTTACTCAATCTGTACTCTCATAATGACTACAAATTCGCTTTAATAATTCAATTCAGGAAAGTTTTTTCAAGGCATTTACATACATAAATACTGATTATCATCAACTCAATATTAATCTGAAGCCGCAAACAAAACAAAAATTTCAACTTTATCAAGAAACTGAATCTATTTTTTTCTTACAAACTAAGCCAAGCAAAATCCCAATTTGTTTGCATATCCTTAATTATCTACTTCTGCTCTGAAATCCAAACTTTTCCTACTGTGAAACTGAGCTCATGATTCTGTTCTATCAGCTGGTTGCCGGGCGGCCTCTCCGCTTGAATCTCGCTTCGGACAAGTCTCTGCCGGAAACTCCATTACTGGCCACAGTCTCTGCTTCGTTGGAGAGCCATGGAGAAGACATTAGTGTGGATCAGGAGAGGTCCATGGAATCAAATCTTGTATGAATCAATATGAACATTTAATGGATTCCAAGTATTTTTTGGTTGAAGCAGAAGTGAAAGTTGCAGATATTGTGGAAGTTGTGAGTTAGTATGAGCTATTTGGTTGCCTCTTCACTTTCTTCTATGCTTTTTTGTCTCTTCTTCACTTTTGTATTCTATTTTCTTTACTACTCCTCTCATAATGTTGACATTAATATATTAATTTTGTTGGTTAAAATGGGAAATTTACTTGCCAATCACACAATTCTTATGTATTTACAAATCTAACCGCTGGACTTTGATATTTACATTTATAACCCTTTGTTGTCATTGTCGTTAATCTATGCATAAAAATGCATATTTTACTTACTAAAAGAAATAATAATATTCTGATGTTATATTAAAGATTCAAATGTAAGGTTTAAATTGTAATTAAAATTTTAAGTTGAGTTTTAATTTGAATTAAATTAAATTTAAATTTTTTTTATTTTTGGATGTTTTAATATTAATTTGGGTGCATTTTATATTAATTTAAATTTAGTTTAAATTGTAGTTTTATTAAATTAAGTTTTACTTTGAATTAATTCTAATGAATTATCAAAACTCAATATTTTATTAGATTTATTTGATATGGCTCGTTTATTGTTCTGAGCAATCAGCTCGTATAAAGCTCGAGTTAATGCTCGATTGCGATTTGATTATAGCTTATTTATTTTAATAAATAAGCTGTTCTTTAATAAACTCAACAATTTCTTTATGATCCAGTTTCAAAAAAGAAGGTACGTATCACACATTTAGAGCATAGATTTTTATATGTTATAATTGAAGTTTAATATGTTCTTTTACTTAAATAAGAATAAGTTAGTTTAATATTTAAATATATAAAAGCTAAGGTATATATGTAAATTGGCAAATATGTAGACTATTTAAGCATTTAAATGCAACACATAATTCTCATGAATTCACACATCTAACAATTAATTTTATTTGTATTTTTAATATCACATAAAAAATTATCATTTTTTAAGGGATAATTACACAAGGACCATCCCAAACATTGATATTCACATTTTCTGATTTTTTTTTTTGGGTTAAACTACCAAACTATTTAGAATTTGATAAAAATGGAAAATATGGGTTGGGGTTACAATGAATTTTAGTATTTTAGTGAAAATTTGAAAACTGAATGGAGCGTCTTTGATTTGTAATTCGCAAGTTTCGAGAGATTTCTGTGTAATTGCGCCTTTTAAGAAGAGAAATACACCTTATTATTAAATACATGTATGTACACAAAATTTATAATCATAATAAATAACTCATTGCCAAATAGTTTAGGAGCTTTTACATATTTGCCCCCCCCTAAACTTATAATTTACATTTCAATCACTTAAGACTTTATTTCCATTTGAAACAATAGCTTTCAATAAGTTAAATTTAAAGTTTTGAGTTTAGGGACTAACCTATAATATTTATTTTTATGGGAAGTTGATATGTAAAAAAACCCAATCATTTTTAAAAAATAAAAATAAAAAAAAGATTTTTTTTTCTGCTCATCTATTCTCTAAATAAATAAATAAATAAATAATAGTTTTATATTAATTTTTACGGTGCAATTAAAAATAATAAATTTTAATAATTTTTTAAATTATTTGAGGTATTATCCTTGTCTTTCTCTCTCCTCCCGCATTTTCTCGTCTTCGCTTCCGCTTCGCCGTCGGCCTCTCTCTCTCTCTCTGTGGCTTTTGCCGATTAGTTATCACAATCAGATTCCTCTCGCCTGGCATCCACTTTTCGGTCGGCGAATTCTCTTCCGGCGGCGCTCGGAGAGGCGGGAACGAAGATCTCGAATATCGGCGAACGGTGGAACCCTCTTCTTGCCCCCCCTTCTGTTTCCCGATCGCTCAAGCTTGCCGTCGCGAAAATCGTCTGGTAAGGGCTCGGCTATGTTGCTGAAGCGGGTCGGGAGGAATGCGCTGCAGCTGTTCTAGGTCGAGGCCGCAATCCATTTTGTGCCGATCTGTGCCGCAGCACGGGTATGGACGTAGACTCGTCCATGTCCGCTGAATCGGACCACGACATAAGCTCTGCAAACCTTCATCATGATCCTCAACCCCCACAGCATACGCAGCAGCAGCAGCAGCAGCCGGCGGGCGTCTGCTGCGGTTACTGTGGCGGGACCTCGGCCGGCTCCGACATATTCGGTCGTGAACGCGATTATTGAAAAGAAAGAGGATGGGCCGGGCTCGCGCTGCGGGCACACGCTCACGGCAGTAGCGGCTGGTGGGGAGGGCAGTGTGGCACGCCGGGGTACATCGGCCCAAGGTTGATCCTCTTTGGTGGCGCCACGGCGCTCGAGGGAAACTCCGCCACGCCACCGTCTTCAGCCGGTAGCGCCGGCATACGTAAGTGTTTGTCCTTTTTCTTTTTTTATGATGTACGGGGAAGTTACCTGATCTGGCTTCGCATGGAAAATTTAAGAAGAGATTGTGAGGTGGGGTGGGGTATTCGGGAATAGGGATTGTTTGCAAAACCTAGATTTATTTGAATGGTTGGACAATGATGTTATGTTTATGTGGTTGAAGAAATTCAGAAGAAAATGAAAAGGATGGATGAAAAGAACGGATATTGAGTTTGAAGCTACGTGTGATTTTGGCTACTTTTATTTGAATTTGGGAGTTGAAGCTAGCCATTTTTTGATACTCAGTCTTGGAGAATAGGGTCTCATATCTTGATTTTTCAAATTCTCTGAAATTTGTGGGATTCTGTTTGCTTGCAGGTTTGGCCGGTGCTACTGCTGATGTTCACTGTTATGATGTGCTGGGGAACAGATGGACGAGGTATCCTTTTGAGTTTGGTTTAAAATTATCAGCTGTTTCTAACTTTATCTTTTCTCACAAGTTCGTTATTTAGGTTTTATTAACTGCATTGGAGGTTTATTGCTCTAACTTGTTTCTTTTTTAAGGAAGATTTACATACATACTACCATCTCATTCTTATGTATTTACATATCTAAAACCTAAACTTCAATTTTTACATACATTCCACCTTATCTATGTATGAAAAGGTGTATTCCACTTTTTAAAAGTTAAAGTGGAGGTACTTTGGTGGTGGTTATGATGTTATATGAAAAATTTGGGTGTTATAAATATAGAAAGCAAGGTTTAGGCGGTAGATATGCAAATATATAGGAATTGGGTGGTATTTATGTGAATGCCCCCTTTCTTAATCTCTTTTTATTTTTAAAAAGGTTAATTAAGGACAATGCTTTTTAGTTAAGAACTCAAGTTTCTAAATTTTAATTTTATTAAAATACAGCACTTAAACTCAAGTCTCAAGCCAGGTTTAATTATTATTTAGTATATTATTTATAAAGCCAAGTCATGTATTCTATCAACATTTGTCAATCTGATATTTTTCAAAACTCTTTGTAAAATTTTTGTATTCTATTAAGGTTTCAGTGCTTCCCTCATATTCTACCTGGTAGAAGTTCAGTGTTCTACCAGACCTTAATGGAACAGTAGGTTGAAACAATGTCTAGTAGGGTAATGTGATTGCAAACAAAGCTTGGCTATATTTGATGCAACACAATTAAATTGCCATAGTCAGAATAGGTTGCCTGAGAATTTTACTGATAATTCAAATTTCAAAAAAGTTACTAGGTTGTTTTGCTCCAAGTACCAAATCCGCATCATATGAGATGCATTCTGTTAATATGATACAAGGAATTCACTGCCAAGATTTTATATCTGGTTCACAGAATCTACTCTATTCACTGGTGGAGTCTCATTGGGCTAGCTATGTTTCCTGGGAGTTTTCTAAAAGTATTTGCTTGGATCTTAAATAATGCAATGGTTCAAGAGGGGTGGAAGAAGATAAAGTATTAGCGTACTGATTTTCTCACATTTAATATCTAATTGTTCTTGTTTGCAAAAGTATAGGGATTTAAGAACCAAACTTTAAAAATATTCTTCTTATTGATAAAATGGTCAAATAATGCATCTGTTTACCATTTTTCTCTTTTGAACTTGATTTTTTTTCCATAATTAACATGTGTAAATGGAAGTAATGCTTTCATGTGGCCCCAGGTTAACTCCAGTTGGAGAACCACCCTCACCAAGAGCGGCACATGTTGCAACGGCTGTGGGCACAATGGTGGTAATTCAGGTTAGGCTGCTCTAACAAGGGTTGCTTTTATTGTTGACTACTAATGAAAACTTAGAATTTTATTATGAGGAAAAAACAATATGAGAGCATTCTGAATTTTATTTGTTTGTGTTGGCAATCCAGGGTGGGATTGGCCCAGCTGGTTTATCAGCAGAGGATCTTCACGTCCTGGACCTAACACAACAACGTCCACGTTGGCATAGGTAATTATAACATTTTTAGCTACATTTCTTTACCCAATAATGTGGATATCTTTGTTGAGTTTTCATCATTTTGCAGGGTAGTTGTTCAAGGACCTGGTCCAGGGCCACGTTATGGCCATGTTATGGCTTTAGTGGGTCAGAGGTTTCTATTATGCATTGGTGGAAATGATGGTAAGTTTTCATTTATATGCACAATATTAAATTGTGATGATTTCAATCAACACTGTACCTTTATTTATATGGTTTTTGAATTATTTGGGAATTAAACTTCTTCAATGTTGTAGGTAAGAGGCCTTTAGCTGATGTTTGGGCTCTGGACACTGCTGCAAAACCTTATGAGTGGAGGAAGTTGGAGCCTGAAGGTGAAGGCCCACCTCCATGCATGTGAGTTCTTTCCTTTTCTTTAAAAACTTGTTCCATGCCATTCTATTTGATTTCATAATCCATGTTATGCTTATCTTGATATTGACTTTTTTTCTTTTATTTAAGAGAGATAGGATTTTCTTATGGTTTTTATGCAATTATTTTTTTTTCTTTTGCTTGTAAATAATGCTCCTATGGCCATGGGTTAATTACATAATTACCTTTAAGAATTCTTATATCTTGTTAGCTTAAATCTTATTGTGAATCAAATCATTGCATCCTTTTGTGATGCGTTTATGTTCCATAAGAACAACAACGTGAAGAGTAGGGCTGTAAACGAGCCGAGCTTGAGTGAGCTCAGGCTTGGCTCGTGTTCGGCTCGCTCAAAATAGCTCGCGTTCAAAATCGTCTCGTGTTCGAAATCGGCTCGTGGACAGAGTGGTCGGGTTGGGGTCGTGTTCGGCTCGATCAAAATATTCGTGTCCGTGTTCGGCTCGTGTTCGGTTCTAAATTGG